TGGAGTCTGGAAGCGCAAACATCGACGATTCCCCTTTGCAGGAATGCCGATGTCGGGATTCTCCACAGGAACTGTAAATCTGAACACCACAAGCCGCTTTTGAAGCATCTGTAAATCTCCGAGCGTCACACCGGCTTTCGGTGTGTGTAGATAGTCCAATCTTCCAGTGAAGAAAAAGGGGAGCTACAGCAATCATAGCTGAGAGTCAAAGATCGCGTTTATCTTTCTTGGTGGAGGCTTCAGGTTGGGCTTGCCACTGTGATGGGCGCTGTCCTTCTGCTGCAAGAGCGCTGTTGATTTCCAACCACATTGATGAGAAAGAGTTCACTACTGCAATTTTTTTCAGCTTTGTTCCATGGACGGGGCAAGCAACGAAATATAGCTTTGTTGGTTTCCTCTGCAAATGAGGGAAATCTTTCATCTGGGCCCCAATGAAGGAGATCTACCCACAGGGCAGTGTGTGCTTGGCACCATCGGCTTCCACCTTTCCACTGCTCCATGTGGAGGCGTCAAATAAAAGTATCCAGCCGCGCTTCAACCTTTCAGATGGCCGTACGGGGTTCTCAAGTGCTGCGCCCGTCACGCAAAAAAATTGAATCTCTAAAATAATCGTGCAAACAAAGAGCCCAACTAAACCCACCGCGCTGTGGCGAGAACACAATTTTGGTGTTGCGGGCCAGACGGTTTAGTACCCTACTAAACGCTCCGCGCTGTGGCGTGAGATCCATTTTGGCCGGTCGGCTTACATTCTAAGAAAGTTTTTTTTTTAGTAAGGTCTTTTTATCGAATTGAACCAACTATACGCTATACGCTGGCCATGTTTTTCCGCAAATTTCCACGGTTTTCAGGGTATAGTAGTCCAAGTTCATCAACTATACGCTCCGCGCTGTGGGAAAACGCGCATCCTAGCTTGGCGGCTGTTGGGGTGCTTTTAGCAACCGCTGGCGGCGCTTTGCTGCCGATTTCTGTTCTGGAGGGCCAACATCAGAAAACAGTGACGAATTGCATCTGCAAGCCAAAGCAACACAGTTGAGATGCCTGTCGCAACGCTTTGCGCTGCTGCTTGAAGTGGTTCAGCTCGCGCACCAGAACCTGCAATAGATTTCTCCACCATAAAGGACTCGGAACCTGCTGCCGCCAAAACCTTCCCCATGTAAGTAGCAAGAAGCGGCCGCAAGATTGAGCAAAATGAGGTTCCAAAACCAGCGCCCCAAAACAGGCAGTTTTGCGGTGACGCATGGGCGTACCCCCATAGTATATAGATTCGAGTCCCCGTGAGCCTCGCTTTGTCCTCGTGCCTCGGGCAGGCCTCGGTAAGCCTTGGAGCGCCTCGAATGCCAACAAACCTGCTTCATCATGGCCCCTAAAACAGGGCCCAAAAAGTGGTCAAAACATGGCTGCGATAAAGGGACCTTGACAGTAGAGCTCTCGCCGCCCATTGCACCTCATGCTCAGAGCTTGATAGAGCCTTGAGTGCTCGCAGTTTAGGAAAGCTGCTGTTCCCATGGGTACCTTGGGTAATGGCGAGTCTAACTACCACACTACAATGCGGTACACTGTTCCAAGCCGGTGCTATTTTAGTGTTCGGTACTGAAGTAGCGCTGAAACAGCGGTGAAGCCCTCCTTGGTCAGCAAGCCCATTAGCGCAACTGCTGACCACGTTCGTGCCTTACTCCAGCAGATCTTTCTTTGTCCATCCTGTCAAACCTTTGACCATGAGATTGCAGTCCCAGTTGGATGAAACTATGAATGCCCTGGTCGACACAGGGTTTGATGACATAGGGTTTTCCAGCACTCCACTTTAAGTCGTCCCGCATGCCCTTACCCCCTGATGTGCCCCCCACATCTGTAGGAACATGACACATGTGTCTGTTATTCCTCTACTGTTCCCAAGGGCACCTTGGGTAATGGTGAGGGCTCAGCTCCGTTTTCACCCTGCCAGGTACTCATCTCACATGGTTCATGCCCTCGTGACTGCCACCTTCTTCCCAATCTCCCGACAGCGATCTATCCTCTCAATAATGTGTGCTCCTTGCTGATGATGCTCCTCAGTGTCCATCTCTTTTAGCATATCTTACACAGATAGCCACCCCCGCCTATCATGTGCTACTGCCCCACCACTTGCCTTGCCCCTTGTTGCTCCCTCCCATGTCATGAATCTACCCCTGAACCACAGTGAACCGTCCCTCCAATCCTGTCACCGGTCATATGTTGTACATATCTCCTACTGTTGCAGTGTCTGGTATTTTGTTCACTCTGCCTGGACTGAACATGATTCTCTGTCTCCGTCAGCAGCCATTGGTTCGAACTGTGAGGACACCACACCTGCATAAGCCAGGGTTGACTGGATCCTCATTTTTATCCAACTTCTTATTGCTCGCCCGTTCATATTCAAGCCGACACGGGGTCCTCGTTGTTTGGCCGCTGCCCGCCTTTCGTTGTTTGGCCGCTGCCACGCAATTGCGAGTGGTTCCTGTCGTTTGGTCTTACTAGACGCCGTGCATTTACCTCCACTTCGGCGAGTGCTGCCACTGCAGGGTACCTGTTGCTGGTATGCCGAGGCAAAACCCTTTCCCGTCTGGCCAAATCAGTGATTCTGATCAACACCTACTGGACATATCGGCTGGAATGAATTGGGACATGCCAGCAGCCAGCAGCGTTCGTTTTCTTGCAGTGAGGGGCACAATATGGGTAGGAGATTGCCAGACAACATATAATTTCACGCTGGTAGAATACCACTTGCATATCGACGAGGTGCCATGGATCATCTTTTCGACCCTTGCCGACGCCCTTGAGAAAGAGTTTGACCCTGCCTTCTGGGATACCGTTAATTATGGCCGAAAAGAGCGGTGGGGTTTCCTTGAACCACCCTGGGATGGAAAAGTCTACGGTGCTGCACCACAGTATGCCCAAGTCCGACTATCCATCTTTAATCGTGACGCTCACACCATGCGTGTTGTGCAACCGTTTGTGTGGAACCATACTCACCTGAAAGTTCACCCGAACGGAGCAATGATTTTCCATGATCAAAAAAGATTAGCCTTCCTGCTGCCTTTGATAGTCGAAGCCCATGGGTTGCTGCCGCCTAAGCCATTGTTCTGGGTCAATGAAGACAATACCATCCCATTGTGGAGAACCACCCTGTGGACGCATGACGAAAGCATACAGTGGTTAGCTGAGACCGGAGAGCCGTACCCGCAGGAACTGCGAGATGAACTTCAGCCACGCATCGACCAACAAAAGTCTTCGCAACATGCGAAGCGGGCACTGCCTCCGCCTCCGCCGGTACCGACCAGGTGGACGGAGCGATCCGCAGCAAAACAGCCAGTACCAAAAATGCAAGCAGATGCTCCACAGGATTCTAAATGTACTCAGAGCACGCCACAGCAAGTGGCTGACCGAGAGCGGCAATACATGGAATTGCAGTCTATTATTCATCAAGCAAACCAACAAACGTTGGCAGATAGCCGACCAGCGGCGACCAGACAGACCCACAAACCAGCCAATTTGCTGGCCGCAAGTCAACAAAGTACAGACAATACAGCAACCGCCGCATCGTCCAATCCCAGTACAGGCGTGGTGGCAGAAGCTCTCACCCCGCAGCAAAGTAAGCCACCTGACAAAATCAGTGCACAATCATTATTTCACAGAAGACCAGGCCCACCGTCGGCCCTTCCTGCGAGCAAAGCGCAAACGGATACCCCGGGTACCGGCGTGTTATCCTCTGACTCTCGCTCTGCAACTCACAGCAAAGATGATGAGCAACAACAACCATCGGCACAGCCCGCAGCCCACGACGACACATCAACAGAAGAATCGTCGCCTGCAAATACACCCAAAGCATCGCCAGAGACTCAAGCAACTGACGCTGCTGGTGCTAGCAGCCCTGAGCCCGCCAGTGACTCCATGCAGGACGTCGACCTCGCCGCAGTGGACATCCCAACGTTACAGAGCATGGAAAAGACAGCCTGTGAAAGAGTGGCCTCCTATGAAACGCGACTCCTCAATGCCCGCGAGCACCTTACTCGCATTAGAAAGCGCCTCAAAAGAATGCAAGATGACCACTCACCAGGCACTCCGCAACCCTCTCCTGCTGCAGATATGGAAATGGAAATCATTGACTGACCGTACAGACAGCTAGCACTGTGTGCACCTGACTGTGTGAAATCACCTGATCAGTGCCATTTCTAATGCCGCCTACACCGTGGATGAGCCAAGAGAAAAGCAGCTGCGTGCCAGGCTAATACCCCCCAAACCTACTGTAAGGGAGAGTACCCACTTAAGTATGACCCCCATAAGCTGGGGCAAAGGGATTTATGGGTTTTTCAATGGGTTCGGACTGTCTGATAAGTTTCTGTGTGTGTCCCAGGTCCTGTCACCGTTGGTCGCCTTAACGTCTGTCGAACTAACATGTACTTTGGGTAAGTAGGTTGCATAAACTGTTAGTGGCTCAATTGTTCGCACTGCAGCTTTTGTGGCTCCACTAGTTTTCATAGCTAGGTCAGCCATCTGACATCAATTCGCACACTAAGGTGTAAGACAAACCCGCACTCGCGACTCGTTGCGATAGTGTATTAGTTAGTACTTGATGTTGATACTTCCGCTGAAGTATCCGGTGAAACATCTTTCCTTCCTCCTCTGGTAATCTTCACATCACTTTTGTGTAGTGATTTCGGTTACCTCCTTTATCTACGCGTAACGCGATTTCTTCTGGGTTGGTTTACGTCTCACGCGAAACCCGGTAACTCGGAAGTAAATCTAAACTGGTTGAAAAACAATTGCCAAACAAAACCATGTTGTCCAAAACAGGTTTTTCGGAATTGACATTTGACGGAATCTTCAATGTCAAACCTGTGCAATTGTTCAATCATTTCAATTTGGAATTTATGGACAGTATATGAATTTATACTTATATGGTGGCCAGTAAGTGGACCAAACAGGGTTGGAGACCAAAGTGTATTGTGGAATACGGCTGTAGCCCCGGCTTACTCGTAATCCCGATGGAGTCGGATGCCCTGGAGAAAGACATGTGGAATGTCTTACTGAGATATGGTTTGGACAGGAGAAAACTTGCAGTTTTCAGTTCAGATGAAGCATCAGCGATTGCACATCAGATTTGCGATGATCTGGGTCTTATTTGTGAACATGTTCATGAGGAGATTGTTTCAGGCTGGTTAGGTACTGTTTCTCAGTCGGAGCCTTATCAGAAACGTCTACGTGGAGAACATCAGCATGATCCTTTGCATGTTGGAAGCATTTTGCAGTCCAGTTTCACAAGGAAATCAACAGCGACAGGTTTGACCGGTGCCTTAGGCAGCTCAAACAGTGATGCAAGTTGGATTCCAATTAGTAGGAGGCAAAGGGTTACTGCTGAGCAGACGTTGGCAAAACATAACCATGAGGAGACTCAGAAGGAGAAATGGGCAAAGGAACTCTATTTGGAACTGTTAAAAATTAATGCACCTGTTTTGAATGGTATGGAAGTTTGTGTTAATCAGGAACGCATTCATGTGGCTATAGCTGGCAAGACACGTGCAAGCACTTTGAAGCGTTACGTCAAGGCTTGGAAGGACTGGCAGTCATGGAAGCATTTGACATGGGGAGCTGATTCTTTTGTACACCCTGGCATGTTCTGTGAATACCTTTTTACACGTTTCGATGAACCCTGTGGTGCCACTATTCCAAATTTCATTTGCAAAGCAGTTGCATGGTTTGAGAAAACAGCTGGTTTGCCGGAGTCAGAAGTTGTTGCAACTACAAAGGCAGTTTGTCAGATCAGGGATTACATAACTGAGAAGTTGGCAGCAGACACCCCGCCCATCAGAAGGGCTCCACGGTATCCGGCAGTGGCAGTCGAGTCCTTGGAGATGGCTGTCATGGACACGGAACAGACAGTTGGATTCAGGGTCATTGCATGGGTGAAATTGTTGAAGATTTGGGGGGCACTTCGTTTTGATGATATGCAGAAAATCAAACCTGCTGAACTTCATTTTACAGGTGAGAGACTTACGACAACACTCAGGGTAACAAAGACGTCAGGGCCTGGGAAGAGAGCACAGGAGTTGCCAGTTTGTATCTCAGAGAAGGCTTTCATCTGGGACAAGTCTTGGATCTATACTGGATTTCAGTTGTTGAAGCAGCATGCGGGTTTTGAGAGGGACTATCTTTTGCCGAAGCTGACAGACAACTGGGCTGGTTTTCAGCGCAAGTTTGCAACATATCAGGATGTCACTTCATATTCATGCCGTTTGAGGAAGAATCTGGTAGGACTGTATGATTTCAGTCCTATTTTCCCTGAAGAACTGGCGTCTTTTTGGACAGAGCACAGCGAGAGGGCAACACTGCCTACAGCCTTGGCTATGCTTGGAGTCGAGACCTCAAAGCGGGATCTGGTAGGCAGATGGAAACCAGATGCAAGTGATACATATGTGCGGTCATACAATGGTTTGGTGTCTCAACTTCAAGGATTGTATGGAAAAGCAATGAGGAAACCACATCGTTTTAAAACTCTGGATGAAATTGATGTGGCAGAGAGTGCAGATGCATGGCTTCGGAACAGAAAAACGGAAATTGCTGAAGAGGAGCGCAGTGAACTGGTCAGCAAGTTAATGTTGGCAATGGATTCTTTTGCATCAGATGGCACCTGGGAGCATCCAGCAGAACAACCTCCTGAAGGAACCGAGGGGGACGTCTTGGAAGAGGTTCAGGACGAGGGCCATACAGAAGATACAAAGACATGCAGAGTCAGTGGTTTCATAGTTGTCACAACTGCAAAGAACTGCAAGAGGTTACACAAAGCTGTGAATGGTTGTTGGATGGCAAGAGAGAGAATCTTCAAAGAGTCGGTGGAGTTTGAGAACAGACCGCAGGATTCAGAATATACACATGTCTGCAGGGTTTGTTGGCCGAAAGACAAGAACGCAGATGACAGTTCTGGTGAGACATCATCAGATACATCGACGTCATCCAGCAGCAGCGATTCCAGTTGATGCAGTGCTCTCAGTTGGTTGAACTTCTCTTTGTGGCATGATAGAAACATGGTCTTCTCACAAGGGTTTCACATATATCGTTAACCCAAAATGGGTTTAGAGGTCGAATAGACCACCGGGCGGAGAAAACACAAGATCCGATGGATCTGATTCAATGCAGTGTGTCCTAAACTTGTCAAGATCGGCAGAAGCATCATCTTGACCGGAGCTTGTTAGGGCACACAACATGGAGCATCAAAATTGCCTCCGGAATAGAGGCAACAGGAAAAGCCAAAGGAATCCGCAGATTCCCGGTATCTTTTGGCTTCAAAGAAGTGAGAGGGTCAGACGTTTGAGTTTGACTTATCTTGCATGTTATCACTTGACTGGATAGGATTTTGTTTTGAGCGGTTTAGTTCAGGATAGTTGGAATGCACAATTGATATATATAAGTTCACAATATTTGAGCAGAAGCTGGATAAGTGGAGCGACATTTCAATGAAATCTTGAGATTTTTCTTTTGCACCGCGCACTGGGCACTCCTAGCGCAACCATGGCTGCTGCACCGATGGGGCCTCGCACACTGGCTGACGCCCTGAAATTGGGCAGCTCTGACTTGAGATTTACATTGGGCAGAAACGATGTTCCAGATACAGTTCAGGCGCATTTCTTCGAGAATGGTGTGGTGACGGTGAACAAATTTTCATCCTTTTTCAGGGATGAGCAGGATTTGATAGAGGTTTTGCGCACCGAGTTCAACATCGATGCAGCAGCTTCACTGGCAGAAAGGGCACAGGTGGCATCGGTTATTTGCTCATGGAAAGATACTCTTACAAAAGCCAAGCGACAAGCGGAGGTGGAAGCTGAGATGAGTACAAGGGAATGGACTAAACCCATTCCAGTGGGAGACTACGTCCAACTCAGGAATTTCTTCCAAACAACTGTTGGACACGTGGAAGATCGAGTCATGCCTTCGAAAGAATACCTTGAGAAAAAGCTGCAAGAACTGGAAAATGGTGAATTTCGTGCAGAGACGCTTGCAGAAGTGGTTTCAAAGGATGAAATCGACCCGGACGTTTTAGTCCCGATCTTCGACAGCAAAGGAAGCCTTTCAGTCAAGAAAGGAAGCACCAATGTACCGCTTCCGACAGGGCCAGAGCAGCTTCGCAGGAGGCTAAATGTGATGCAGAACTGTTTGATGATGTTGGCTCTCAAGCATGTGAATAGAGAAGAGATACAAGATGTTAGCAAAGAGGTCTTCGATAAGTACAAGGACTACATCTTGGGCGACTATGTTTGGGGGCTCAGCTCAACGGATCTGAATGGTCAACAGATTCAGACGCCACCATGGAGCCTGGTATTATCATATGAGCATGCAATCAGAAAGCGTGCCTACACGTTGATGCAGACGGAGAGGCTCATGATTGGGGCGGCTTTGGAAAAGGCATGGAAATGCCCTACCACGAAAGAGCGGCATTTCATTACACCGTTGGCACTGTATTCAAAGAGATCATACACCCCGGGTACAAGCTCAACAAGCCCAGGGACATGGAACCCGAAAGGAAAAGGAAAAGGCAAGAGCAAGACAAAGGGTCCACAGAAAGGATCTGGACAGAGTCCCAATGGTGAGAAGATATGCTACAGGTTCAATGCGGGCAAGTGCAGTTATCAGAAGTGCAAGTTTGCGCACCTTTGCAGCAAATGTTTTGCAAAGGGCCACAACGCGTTGAATTGCAAGGAGAAGCCAACGCCTGATACTACAGGCAACTGACTCGGGCCTACAGATGGAGTCAAGGTTTCACATAATACAGATGTTTGCAGGGTCCTGTACTTGTTTTCAGGTATTGCCCGGAAGGGCTCAGTGGCTGCATGGACGAAAAAGCTCTCCGCAAAGTGGGGAGTAAAAGTACAGATAGACATGGTGGATATCAGAGTGAGGCCGCATTTGGATCTGACAAAAGCTTCAGTACAGAAGGAACTGTTAAACAAGATTTCATCTGGTTTCTATGCTGCAATCATTTTGAGTCCACCGTGTTCAACTTTCACCAGAGCTACCTTTTCGAATCGAAGAGGACCCAGGCCAGTGCGATCCTATGTTCACTTGCGAGGACACTTGCGTTTGACTTGGACGGAAAGGAGAAAAGCAAACTGGGGAAATTCAATGACAGATTTTTCTTTTCAGGTATGCAAGTTGGTACAAGACATGGATACAATTGTCATCTTTGAGAATCCGGAGGATCTAGGTGCGGTTCAGGTTGGTCCATATGCAGGACAACGACCAGCGAGCATGTGGCAGTGGCCTTTGTTTTTACAGTTGATTGAGTCTGGAAAGTTTCAAACATGTGCTTTTTACCAATCTGACTATGGAACTGAATACCTGAAACCGACACGCTTGTTGTTGAAAGGTTTGCACATGGATGAAAAATGCATGAAACCTGGCCTGCCGTGTTTTGACGAGCAGGGTTTCTATCAAGGACCGTTGGAACGGAGACAAGCAACAGTGCGTTTGATTGGACATCAGGGGGGTAAATTTACTACTACAGGTACAGAGCAATGGCCAAGCAGTTTTTGTAAATGGGTGGCAACACAAATTTTGACTGTTTGGAGTTCCCTCCACACCATTTCTGCCTGCGGTGGGGGATCAGAATGCATGAGCGGTGTGGAGGAAAAGGTTGGAGCTGAAAGTTTTCCAGTTATGCAACCGGAGGGTTGGAAGCTGAATGGGGGTCATGGGGAGCCGAGACAATGCAAGGTGCCTGGAAAGACTAGGATGTTTCATGATGGCAGCGGTTTAGCCTCACCTGGAAGGTGGGACCTGGAGAAACGTGTTTGGAATAGGGATAATTTTTGGAACCGTTTGAGAGAGGATTCATACAACTTGGTTCTACAACACTGTGGGGGGCAACAGAACTTTGACCGAATCTGTTTTGAGATGGCGGCAAAAGGTGAAGAGGGCTGTAAACTGGTGAAAAACGATGCCTTGTCATCCCAACTGGTACAATTGTGGTGCGACAGACTTCATGGAGAAGGTTACAACACAGAGAACATTCAACATGTTGCGGAAGGGCAGCCCTTCAAATTGCGACTGATGGAAGCCTTACTGGATAGGGCTGGGGACCCTGACCACAAATTTCTTCTGCAGGGAGAAAGCGGCTATCCGGTTGGGGTGTTACATCCCCTACCAAGGACGCCACATATGTACGAGGAGCAGACTTCATGGAAGCTGGAAGATGACCCCTATATGAAAGCAGAGATATGGAGAAACAACTACGATTCGGTGGGTGACCATGAAGAATTTGTAAGGGAACATTTTGCAGAAGAGTGCAAAGAAGGCTTGATGGAGAAACTAACTTTGGAACAAGCACATGAGAGGTTTGGTTCGAAGGTGGCAATTTCTTCGCTTGCAGTCTTGGTGGAGGAATCTCATGGAAATAAGAAACGCATCATCCACGATGCGACACACGGGACGAAGGTGAACAATCGTATCCGTTGCAGGGATAAACAAAGGAGTCCTGGAGCTAGGGAGAAGATGTATTTGCTTGCGTATTACAAAGCAAGGGGTGACATTGTTTTCAGTCTGGTTGGGGATATTAGCAAAGCTCACCGACGTTTTCTACACGAACCTTCTGAATGTGGGCTCTTGGCATGCAGGGTCAAGAACGATGATCCTTTTATCTTCATCAACAAGGTTGGAACCTTTGGCGTAGCATCAGCAAGTTTCTGGTGGGGAAGGATAGCGGCGTCGGGTATCCGCTTGACCCACGAATTGCTTGGACCAGAGCGGCCTATTGAGATGCTCATTTTCGCTGATGATTTGGAATCGCTTGGAGCTGGGATACAAGGTAGAAGGGGCATAGCATTATCCTATTTGTATCTTGCAACTATGGGCTTTCCTTTCAAATGGAGCAAACAACGGGGTGGCTTGAAGGTGGAATGGATCGGTCTTTTTACCGATTACACTACAATGAGATTGGGCCTGTCCGAAAGCAGAGCGGCTTGGATGGAAAATTGGACAAGAAAGATGGCTCAGACAGGTCGCACAACATCAAAGGAGATGGAACAAGGACTTGGCCGATTGGGCTTCGCAGCGAACGCCTTGACATGGGAGAGGCCCTTCTTGGGGCCATTATATGCCTGGTCTGCAGCAGTGAGGACAAAGAAAGGTCTCTTGAAGATACCGGCAATGTTACGTACAATTTTTTGGTTTCTGGCTAAAAGAACTCGAGATGGGGGCAGCCTACAAGAGCCAACTCCCATCCGAACTGATAATGAAGCGGATCTCGTTTTCTTTACAGATGCAAAGGCTACAGAGCAGGGTGCTTGGATAGGAGGCTTCTTGCAATCAAAGGAAGGTAGCATAATTTCGTGGTTCTCAGAAGAGGTGCAAGAAAGCTGGGCGCCGTGGCTTTTTGTTCGTAAAGACCCAAAACGGGTAATAGCAGCTTTGGAACTATTGGCTACGTTGGTGGCTGTCAGACTTTGGGCAAATGGATTACAGAGAGGTGGCAAGGGCCGGTGTTGGGTGAGAGCTGGTACAGATAACCAAGGAAATTCTTATGCAGTCAGCCGGTTGATGAGTACAAAATATCCACTCACGGTGCTGATCATGGAGCTCTCAGAGACCCTTCGTGCCCGGAATTGCGAACTAGATCTTCGATGGATTCCGAGAGAGAAAAACCAACTTGCAGACGATTTGACAAATCAGGTTTTCACGAAATTTCCCATGGATTGCCATGTGCAGTTTGTTGGTGGGGACACCAAATGGTTGGTCCTCAGTGAACTTATGGAAAAGGCCAATGAGTTTCACATGGAGCTGGCAGCGGAGAAGAAACGTAAGGTCGCCGAGCCGGTAAAGACAAGGAAGGCCAAAAAGCAAAAGCTTTTGGAGCCGTGGTGACTTCCCTCGTTGACCAATGGGATGTGGAGATTGCTCGGAAAATCACACCGGAACAATTTACTTTGATGTGAAAGCATATCTCCAACAGGTCTTGGGAACACCAACCTTGAATAAAGAGCCAAAGCGCGAAAAAGAATTGCTGCGTGAGTGATCGGCACCTTGTTTCATCTGTCATTCGTTTTGCAGAGGTTTTTACATGTCATGAAATCGGATTTGGCGAAACGGCGATTTTTATTTTGGAAGAAAAATTTTTGGACCTCGAATGAGGAATCACAGTTGAGAAAGGAAGACGAACATTCGACGGCGCGTATCACGATTCTTTATGTATGTATACGGATATACATGTTGAACTATGTATATGGGGTATTTGGTTTATACATACTGGTTTATAGATGGGAGGGTTTTGGGAGGATATGTATAGTACTATACTAGTACGCACTCGCGACTCGTTGCGATAGTGTATTAGTTAGTACTTGATGTTGATACTTCCGCTGAAGTATCCGGTGAAACATCTTTCCTTCCTCCTCTGGTAATCTTCACATCACTTTTGTGTAGTGATTTCGGTTACCTCCTTTATCTACGCGTAACGCGATTTCTTCTGGGTTGGTTTACGTCTCACGCGAAACCCGGTAACTCGGAAGTAAATCTAAACTGGTTGAAAAACAATTGCCAAACAAAACCATGTTGTCCAAAACAGGGTTTTCGGAATTGACATTTGACGGAATCTTCAATGTCAAACCTGTGCAATTGTTCAATCATTTCAATTTGGAATTTATGGACAGTATATGAATTTATACTTATATGGTGGCCAGTAAGTGGACCAAACAGGGTTGGAGACCAAAGTGTCCCACCCACCCAAACCCGGGAATGTGGAGATTGCTCGGAAAATCACACCGGAACAATTTACTTGATGTGAAAGCATATCTCCAACAGGTCTTGGGAACACCAACCTTGAATAAAGAGCCAAAGCGCGAAAAAGAATTGCTGCGTGAGTGATCGGCACCTTGTTTCATCTGTCATTCGTTTTGCAGTGGTTTTTACATGTCATGAAATCGGATTTGGCGGAACGGCGATTTTTTATTTTGGAAGAAAAAAATTTGGACCTCGAATGAGGAATCACAGTTGAGAAAGGAAGACGAACATTCGACGGCGCGTAACACGATTCTTTATGTATGTATACGGATATACATGTTGAACTAGGTATATGGGGTATTTGGTTTATACATACTGGTTTATAGATGGGAGGGTTTTGGGAGGATATGTATAGTACTATACTAGTACTGATTGTTTTGTTTCCTACCTGGTTCACCTCCAACGCATTGGCCCTGCAAGGGGGAACCCTGACCCCGGGTGCCGGGTGTTCGGGGCTTCCCTAGCCTAGCCAATCCTGTTGATATACCTTTGCACTCGCTGCCCGTATAGCTTTCACTATCTTCGGCTAGTCACTTGGCACCTGACGCCCGGGCACCGGTTGTTCAGGGTCAAGCTGGCGTCAACATGCTGCAACAGCTAATGACACCAAATAGGTTCATTTCCTTGACGTCACCTGACCCTGATGACTCAGAGACAGACATCGAACCAGCAGAGCCAACCGCCCCAGATAACACAGTCGAGGATGCGTCAATGCACAGTGATACAGAATACTTTGACGCCCTCGAGACAGATGATGACGTTCCATATTTCCAACAAGGGACTGAGCCTCCCCCAAAGGAAAAGTGGGAAATTGCCGCGCCGATCGATTTCTTGAATGTCCAAGAGGTTACACAGTTAAGCCACCAGCTTGACCAACTGTTCCTCTCGCAAAAAGAAGTTGAGACCCCGCTCGGCATGGACGACATAAAACAAAGGTGGAAATGGGACGATGTCGGCTCCTGTCGAATGCCCCGGTCACCTCTGACATACCCTGCACTCATGGTGGACGAAGGGAACGGCCTCCAACGCCCCGCAGCCAGCCAGGTTCATCATAGAACGCTCTTCCAGTGGATAACAGATAATCTCTCATGGTTACCTCAGTATGCCACCGTCTATGTTTATGTGGACAACCGCAAACTGTCAGGCACTGATCCTCCAGCCTACTGGCCGCATTTCGCACCCTGGTTCAAAGGCCGAAGCACAGTGACAGGCCCTTACCGGGAGAAAACTACTGCGATCCATTTTCCCATTCATGCTGACACAGGTTTGCATCAGGTCCATTATACCTGGGCTGGTGCTGCAGCTCTGGAGGCGCTGTGTTTAATGTTCCCCACTGTGAATTTTGCTCTCATTGACTCTGACTGCGTGCCGACCTCATTGTTCGAAATAGCCGAGCTAGTCAACCTTATGACGGATAAGGCAAGCAGAGCCGCAGCAATGCAACATAACACAATGGCCAGCTCTAACCAGTGCCCTCCAGCAGTCCTCCTTGCCACAGAAGCCAAAGCCGAACTTAATGCCGGCTTGATCATTGTGACAGGACACATCCCGACCGAGGCAACTGATGTAGAAATGGCCCAAGCAACCTCGGAAGCATGCATGCCACCAGTCCCTGCCCAAAGCTCCTCTCCGAGTGCTGCACCCGCCCCAAAGGCACGACGAATAGCCCACCCTGCCAATCGCACAGCAGATGACTGGGTCACCGCACTCCAGGATAGCAGAGCCAGTTTCCTAGCTACAACCGCTGTGCCAGAAGACCCTGCGGAAGCAATGAGGGGAGGACTGCTTCTCACCCCCCTACTCGGCTGTAGGGCTAGAACCCCACTTGACTGGACACATGCATGGGCAATGTTGGGCGAATGGGCGGGAGCCATTGCATTCCCCATCCCGGAGCGAGGAGAATGGCCACGTCACGGGGATGGCCGATACCTTAGACCGGACTTTGTCGAGCGGACCCCGCCATTCCTTACCTGGGCACGCCCCATTTTCGAACAAGGTGCGCTCTCCCCTCTGTCAGTTTTCCCAGCCGACTTCCCCATACTGTGTCTTCCAGGAGACAAATTGTTCCAAAGCAAGGAGTTAACCATAGGGTATAGCCTGCCGCCAATAGTGCACGCCTTCCATGGGAGCAAAGTAGGCCTAGGACAACAACTCCAACAGTGGCTAAACAAGGGGCTGCAACCGCTTGCTGTGTCGCTCATAGGAGTGGACGAGGAACCACCGTTGTGGACACACCCCACAGGCTGCGACTTTGTTAGAGGGAGTAAACTAATCGCCAAGCCGCATGTCCTGCAACACAGAAGCCTTACCAAGCTGCAGGTGTTGCTTCTTCAGAGTCTTTGGACACCGGTGGAAGCCCCCAACAACAGCAATGACCATACACCTTGGCCCAAGACTTGCGATCCTGCCATTGTTTTCTGTGGTCAGCATGCGAGCCTCCAGCTCCCCAGTGCCCCACTCCTCCCTCTGCTGGAAGCGCTGCAACGGCGACTGGGCATTGACCCTGGCAACGCAGAACTGGCAATCAACGAAGTGCTTGCTAGCCATACTGACCCCCAATACACTGATTGGAAGATCACTGTCATGGATAACACTTCCTGGCAACTCAATGACGCTGACCCAGGGTCCCTGGAAGTTCAGTGCACTGGGTTGGGTGGAGGAGAACTTGATGAAGACTGGGACGTACTGCTAGCCTGCAAAAAGGAAGCACATGTTTACGGGCCATCCCTTAGCAAACAGGACGATTGGAATGCAAGAGCGGGCACAGTAGCAGGCACTGCTCACACACAAGAATACTTGCTCCTGCACATCGCCATGTTTCCCATAGGTGCACACTTCTGGTGCCGCGTCTTAGGAATGCCCAGTGCGAACCAATTGCAAGCGCAGATCATCAGTCGGGCCATGAAACTGTTGCGCTTCTGCCCCATCATCCCAGCACACAGGAAACCGCCGTGGCCCGGGTACATACATGGCCTGCGGCTTTTCACTAAGTTGCTAGTTGCACATCCACTAGTCGGAGTATGTCTGCCCCCTGAAATCCGCCCAGTCGATCTTCTGAGATTAACAGGATACATGGTAGGCTCCATCTACATACGAGGGCACAGCGCTGGCTCGTACGCAGGAATGGTATGGGAAACTATCCTCTCAGAATTCCCAGACGTTGGTGGCAAAACCGTGCTAGCAGCCATTGCGCTACCACCATCGCTTCTCACGACATGCAATCTATCTCAGCTGAGAGAGATCCACCTCATTCACCATGCAGATGACAGGCTCTGCGTATGGAACCCGTCGAACTATGACCTCAAGCTGCTTAGGCAACGGGGCTTTAAAATTACGCATATCACAGGATGGAGAGCGTACCTCGGTACTGCACAACATAACTACTCGCATTGGACAAGAGTTGCCCTCCCAGAAGGACGACCAGATATGGAGCAGTTAGAAGGTACCCCTGGAGTGCTCCCCTTCGAAGTTTACTCGCAGGCTCCCCTCCGTCTGATCTCATGGTGCAGCTTTGAGCTCTCAAGAACTGCCAGAAAACTCCTGCGTGAATTAGCGGAAATGTGCGAGCTACCAGAAACCACGACACAGGCACTTGTTACACACATTGCTGCCCATAATTCAGAGGTCAAAACTGAGCAAGAGGCAACCCAATACTTAGCCACGTTGGCAACAGTCACCACCTCCTCAAGGACCAAGTTGCTCAACTATACCACCATGGTACAACATTTCCTTGGCACCTTGCAATTGCCCCTGGCTGTCTACATGTTAGACTACTATTTGCCCATGCTCAGTCCAAATGAAGGCTATAATGAAACAGGGTTAACAATGCAAAGTGCAGGCCCTATCCGGCAACCATCGCAACCCATCGCCCTTGAATTCCTCTTCAGAGGCAGCGAGTTCGGACACTGGAAAGTTAAAGGCGGACAGGATGCGTTCGCGTTCCGACACCCCAGCCTGGGCAAAACCGAAGTGTTTAGCCTGCTAGCCAGTGATGCGCACCATCACAAAGTCAGCCCCATTGGCACGGGTAGACTCATTGCCATGGTGGGTACAGCGGACGCACTAGCTTATGATGGAGATGACCTTCA